CATATTCACATTGCTAAGTCTCAATACCATCATTCATCCAGTTTTCCATACCAGAAACCTGGAATTTTTTCTAGAGCAGAGGCAGCAAACTCAAATGCCTATGGGAACAGCCAGGTAAAACATTTATTTTTTTAAGAAATGTGTATAGCTTTTAACATGTACCAGGCACTTCTATGTCATTTGCAAATCTTAACTCATTTAATACTCAGAACAATACTATGAAGTAGGTACTATTATTATGCCTACTTTACAGATGGGTAAACTGAGGTACAGAGAGACTATGGAATTTGCTCAAGGTCACTCAGTTAGCAAGAGCCAGCACTTGAATGCAGACTCTGGCTCCACAGGTCAGCATATTATGCTCTCTCTGTGAGCTGGGCAGGGTGTAGTAAAATAAATAAGGAGAACAGGGCCTGGAGAGCTAGACAATACTTGCTTCACCGGGATGTATTCAAACCCTCTGCAGCTCCACGTTCTCAACTTGTGTTTCATGCTTGCATAGCTCTCCGCTACATCCACTGAAGGTTCTGTTCATTCTACCTCCTTCATGTTTCTCTCACTATCTCCCTTTTCCTCTTTCCCACCACAGCCTCAGTTCAGGCCCAGGTCGTTTCTCAATCAGCTACCACTACCTGGCAGCCATCATTCTTGCCTCTCACTAGTCTGTGCTCTCTGAAAGCAGGTTGGCAAACTGTAAAGGGTCAGATAGTAAATATTTCAGGATTCCCAGGCCATAAGGTCTCTGTCACTATTACTCCACTGTCACTGTAGCATGGTATCTGCACAGAATAAGTGGGTATGGCTGGGTTCCAATAAAACTTTATTTACAAAAACAGGTGATCCTTGCTCAGTAGTACTACTGCAGCAGTTTTCTTAATCAATCCTATTCCTTCTACTGAAATATATTCCAGATGGTCTCAAAACCTTGGATAATATACAAAAATATAAAAGTATCAGAAGAGAACAAGAGTGAACGTTTTTTTATAACCACAGGGTAGGTGAAACCTTTCTAAGCATGAAAAAACAAGTAAATTTGAATACATAAAAGTTAAAAATCTCAGTGGAGCAAAAGTAAAACTAAACAACAAAACACCTCAAATAAAGAAAAAAGGCAAAATGTGAAAGAAATATTTGTAATGAATATGATGGAAGAAATGCTAATTTCTGTTATTCATAAAGAACTCTAAAAAGTCAATAAGAAATGACCAAGGATATAAGAAGCAAATAAAAGGAAAAATATAACTGATCAAAATAGAGAGAAAGATACTAAATCCTACCAAAACTTAAACAATGAAGTTTACTCCCACAAAATCTTTTTCAATTATCAAATTGGCAAAACTGGTAAAGACCACTTATGCAAGAGTACAGTATAGACAGGGAGTCAGATTCCCATATGCTATTGAAGGGAGTATAAATTATAGTATCTCTTGGGAACAAATTGGTTGATCTTTCAAAAACTCAAATATCTAAAGCTAGCTATTACATATATAAACATCCTATAAACTCACCTAATTATACAAAGACTTGTGTACATAAAAGTTAATCACAAATTTGCTTTTAATAGCAAAAAATTGGAAACACTTTAAATTCTGACTGTAAAGGATTAGTTAATAATGGTAGATCCCTATAATGCAGTGATCCCCAACCCCCAGGTTGTGGACCAGTACTGGTCTGTGGCCTGTTAGGAACTGGGCCACACACCAGGAGGTGAAGAGGGGGTGACAAGCAAAGCCTCATCTGCATTTATAGCCTCTCCCCATCGCTTACACCACTGCATAAACTCCGCCTCCTATCACATCAGGGGAGGCATTAGAGTCACATAGGAGCACGAACCCTACTGTAAACCGCGCATGTGAGGGATCCAGGTTGAGCGCTCCTTATAACAATCTGATGCCTGATGATCTGAGGTGGAGCTGAGGCGGTGATGCTAGTGCTGGGGAGTGGCTAAAAATACAGATTATCATTAGCAGGGAGGTCTGACTGCACAGTAAATGTAATGCCCTTGATTCACCTCCAAACCATCCCTCCCTACCCCTAGGTCCATGGAAAAACTGTCTCCCTTGAAACTGGTCCCTGGTACCAAAAAGGTTGGGGACCACTGATATAGCAGAACAACATATAGTGAGGTAAATACTGTCAGTGAAAGCTACACTGTTACAAGAAAATGGCAAGTTGCAGAACTGTGTGTGTGTGTATGTTGAGAGAGAGAGAGAGAGAGAGAGAGAGAGAGAGAGAGAGAGAGAGAGAGAGAAAGAGAGATATCTTGTTTTTATTGAAGAAAACATACAAACACAGCTATATCTACATGTATATCTATATAGACAAGGCTGCATTTCATACAGGGGTTTTATCTAGCATGGAAGAAAAGGGTATTTTCTCAGTTTAAAATGTATGCTTCCATATTATTTGAATTTATTTACAATAAGCCTATACCAATTTAAAAGTAATTTAAAAACACTTAAAAGATAAATAAGATATAATGCAAAGTGATCATATCCCTCCACAGAACATTCCACAACTTTACAGAGTTGTGGTATAATGGCCCAACCCTTTAGCATGATATACATGCCAATAAGACAACATGACCCCTGCCTAACTCTTCAATCTCAGTAAGTGCCTTTCCTACATGACAGTCAAGTCATACTGTGTTACTGAGTCACACTGCAGTTTTCTGAACATGCCAGGATATATCAGACTTCTTTGCTTTTGCAGACTTCTCCCTCTGCTTACAATTCCCCTCCTGTCTTCCCTGCCTAGTAAACACTCATTCACCTCAACCCTCCCCGACAGGCAGAACAACCTTAGGGGAAATACAATATATGTTAAACAGTCAAGTGTTTATCTGGAATTATTTGGAAACTTTCAGTGCCTCCCGTATGTCAAGCATGCTGCTGGATGTTTTAAACATATCATGTGATTTAACTCCTAAATGACTTATTATTACTTCTATATTACAGACATGGAAATTGTCTCAACAAGGTTAAGGAACTGCCCAAAGACTCACGGGTTAGTAAACGTCACAGGCAAGATATTAACTCAAGTCTGCTTGGCTTCAAAGCCACAGATTCTGAGTTTTGAAAAGGGAGACTGGAGCCAATTGCAGGCTTGATGGAGAAGCCTTGAAAGGATCCGTCTGGACACTTACGTCCCAGCAGACCAGTCTCCTGTGAAGGCAGGGGGACAAGAATGGTAGGGTGGAAGGACAGAGAAAAGGAAAGAAAGCTATTTTGGGGCCAGACTTTGACCATTCCAGATGACAATGTTCCTCTAACACCAGGCAGAGTTGAGGCAGGTGGCAATATGAAGAAACTGCAGACTCCTGTGTAGGTTAAGAAAATCAAAAGCAATGTCTTGAGAAAATTAGTCTGGCAGCTCTGGACAGCATAGATTGCAACAGAGGGTGTGTGGAGACAACAAAGGCAGAGATCTGAACAGTAGGAGCTGCTGCAAAAATCAACAGGCTCATGTGGTTTGAACCTGAACTCAGATGGCACCTTTGGAAATGGGGATGAGAAGGCAGATCTCATCCATTACAAAAGATTCCCTTGGTGACATTAGATGTTAGACTAGAGATAAAGAGGAGAAGGGAGAGAAAGAGTTAAAATTGATTCTAAGGTTCCTGTCTAATGGAAGCAAAGAACACTGGTACTCTTGACAGAAATGGGATGGCAAGAGAGAAAAAGGAACCTGCAGAGAAAGAATCTGTGTTTAATGATAGCGCATATAAGGAAAGACGCTCCTACTGCTGACAGAGGTCACTTCTGATGCCTATGGACAGAGAGGCCTTGATTTTGGGGTGATATCCTTATGACTGTAACTTATCTAAAGGCATTCTTAAGATGTCAACAGCATGACACTTACACCACTTACATAAATGACAAAAGAACTCCTTTAGAGACATGATCATTTCTTGCTCAGCTAGCATAAAGCACTTAGACATGTTTGCAAGGATACCAGGTAGAATTAATCTGTTTTAAGCTACACGATATAAGCCTTAGCAAGACTCTTAAGCTCTTTCACCAAACCCCCCTACTCATCATTCTCCCAAAAAGGATTTTCTTTTCTTTAGGTGAGGCTGGCCACTGAGGAAAGAAGTTGTCTGGGTTACCTCCTTTTACCCTGGATTTCAGGTTCAACTCTTTAAAAACAAACAAGCAAAACCACTCTTTTCCTAATACTCTCAGAAGCCTCCCTGTCTCATCTGTTCAATCGACTCAGTAACATTATTTACCACTTTCTATCCTCAAAGAGTAACTGGTTTAACGTTATCATTCACTCAGTATGATCTGTCTCTATACCCAAGAAGAAAAGAAAAGACCAGGTCTTCAGTTTGCAGAATGACCCAGAACATACCTTCTAAACATGGTTAGCTCAGAATAGGCTATGTCAAAGTTTAGCTATGAGGCAGGATAATAATAATAATGCTTTGCCTGACTTACAGGGTCGTGACAACCAAATTACATAATTATGGCAATAAAATTTGGTATAGTGTACCAGCATTAGGAAAAAAATATCTTGTTACAAATCTCCTTTCAGAGAAGCACTCTATATCCCTGCACACCTGGAACAAGCTCTGAGGCCCTACAAGAAGCAAAAACTAAAAGTGAGCCGAAAGTCTCAGTGGTCACCATGGGTCACACCATAGCCAGCAGTTCAATCTGTCCAGAGTCTACAGAACTCATTATCTTGCTGAATTATAAAGGTATAGTAGTAAGTATAAGAATACTAAAGATAAAGAAATAGGCAGGATAAGCATTCTACTTTAATTGAAAATGGGAGGGAGACTATTTTAGTACAATACTTAAAATGTAATATTATTTACAATTCTGTATAAATAGAATTCAGAAAATTTTATTTCAAATCCCAATTAAATTGAAGAGGAAAAATACTAAGAGGATCTGCAGTTTCAAAGTATTCCTTTCAGTGCAGTAAATCAAATGAGCTTTTTGTTTAAAAATAGTTTCAAGTAAGTATCTAACTCTATCAGAAAAACAACGTACCTGTGAGTTTGATTTTGGACAGTCGAGCCAAAATTCCTGGTAAATCAGCTACCTGCAGCTTCATCTCTTTCCACTGCTTTTCACCTTTTTTCTCTTTTCCAACATCTAATGAACCTTCAATTATTGAGGCAGACTCTAGTTCCATAAATTCCTTTTCATTCGGCTTTCTGGACAAAGGCAGACTAGGGGATGAAAGAGGTTTCATTTCATATATTTCTAATTTTGTTTGACCTGAAGATGTTTTTTCAAGGAAAGGAGATGCCACTGGCTCTGGCTTAGGTTTTACTTGCTGGTTGAGGCTTCTGTTCAGTTGTGTGACATACTAAACAAAAAAACAAAAAAACCCACATGTTACTATAAGGCAAGGCCCGAAATACTCTCAAATGGTTGTTTAGTAACATCTTCCATCAGCTCAACTTTTATGGTACTTGAAAGTTTTTCCTACAAAATTAATATTAGTCAATTCAGCATGTATTTACAGAGTTTTTGTTACATGGAAATCACTACAGTGACAGATACAGAGAATAAAATTAATACCTCAGCAATGGTTTTCAAATTCTGTGGTTTAGAAAATTTAGGCATATAAATTCCTTGAAAGATAAATTCCATTTTTATTCATCTCCTCCAGAATTTCCTCTGGAGGCTTAACATTCCAAATGCAATGAAAAAGTTTTATAGAATCAAGAGCCCAAGTCAACCTGTTCTTAGGCAAAAAGCACAGAAAAAAAGCACTCAGTATTAGGGCATAATCCAGGGCTAAATGATGTTACAGCAGTGTGGTATGAGGAAAGAACATGGGTTTTGGAGTCAGTCTCTACCACTTACAAGCAAGAATTAGTAACTACTACTAATATTTGTGAGGTACTTTATAATTTTATATAATATATATCTCATTTAATCTTCTCAAAAGTTGTTAAAAAAGATGAATCAGGCTGGGTGCAGTGGCCCATCCTTGTAATCCTAGCACTTTGAGAGGCCAAGGTGGGAAGATTGTTTGAGGCCAAGAGTTCAAGACCAGCCTGGGCAACAGCAAGACCCCATCTCTACAAAAAAATTTTAAAAATTAGCCAGGCGTGGTGTTGTGTGCCTGCAGTCCCAACTACTGTGCAGGCCGAGGTAGGGAGATTGTTTGAGTTAAAGAGTTTGAGGCTTCAGTGAGCTCTAATGATATCACTACACTCTAGCCAAGGCAAGAAAGTGAGATCCTGTCTCAAAAAAAAAAAAAAAAAGAAGAAGAAGAAGAAACCAAGCCTCATACCAAGAGTTAATATCAGTTCTAGGCAGCCTTGGGACATAGAGCCTACTATGCTGATAACTCCACAAGTGCCTTTTACATTACATCACAAAGACTTGAAATTACATATACTAGTCTTAAATAAGAATTAAAAATTCATGAATGAATGAAGAGTTCTATTTACATAAAAAAGGTACCATACATATTTGAATTTCTCTTCTAAATATCCATTATCCTTGACCCTGAATTTTAAAAATCTGAGCATTTCTATCATTTAAACATTTAAATCTCTTATCAACATATTAAGTTTTATTAAGATTTTAAATTAATTTGATTTTTAAAGTTAAAGTGAGCATTTTAAGTTAAAAAAAGATGAGAGAAATGTCAAATATGATGTTAGATTATGACTTTGCTGTTCTTTCATCCTAATATTACAGCTATGAGTTTTCAGCTATTTTCTGCCATTATATGACCATTTTCTAGTTGAGAAATGGCAAACGCTCTCACTGGTAATTAACAGTAAGTTACTAGGTTGCCCACAATATCATGGAGTGAATCGGAAGACATACAGGATGACTGAGAACATATCATCAATGTTCACTATAAAATGCTAGCAAACTGTAAAAACTCTCAATTTTTTTGAGTTAACTCAGAAGCATAAGTGTTAAGAAAACTTTTAAATGTACCACCGATTTAAGAAAATAAGAGGGTGACATGGTTAAAACAATTATTTCAGTATTACTGATGTATTCACAAAACTTCAAAGAATTTTAAAACAAGTATCATGGTATCAAAACAGTTCAGATTTCCTGGTTTTAGCATAGTTGAAATATGCCAGAAGTTTTAAATCTTTCTCCAAACTTAATAAGTTCAAGATCATACTTTTAACCACAAATGTCAGAATATTCTGGTTTAAGAATAACCAAAACAAGAGATTCAAGTTTTGGATAAACTTAAGAGGACACCAAATGAAGGTCTTTTTCAAACAGTATCTCTTAAAACTTTTCCTATAATAGGAATTTCTAATATTTCTTCATATAGAGAAAAGTAAAGGCAGAAAGCAATAGAGTAAGAACAGTCTTCTAAACATACCATGCGTTTGAGGAAGTTAAAGTGCTGAAATGTAATCCATTGCTTGTTGACATTCCTGAAAAGATGTATGAACTTGTGAGGGGATTCCTGGATAGCTCTTCCTTCAAGATGCCAGATACATCCTCCTACCCAACCTATAACAGAGAAGAGGCAAAAATGTTAAAAATAATTAATGCTTCTCATCAAATGATGATTGTACCTACTTAGAAGCAGAGCCAACTACCAAATTGAGCGCTACACTGTGTCAGAGCTTTGAAATTATCGAATCCAGATTTGTGAATAAATGCAATTTACCAACCTTACTCACTGTTTAACTCAGCATAATTCTTCAGAAGGGCTGAGGAAAATTTTCATTTTAGGATCATTATGTTTTATTACCTTAAATGTGGAAATGACCACACTAAAGATCTTTTTAAGAGAAAATATAAAACAACCAGTTCGGTCACTTCTAAAACAGTAGAAAATAAAAACCACAATTTTGCTCAATGAGTTATTTTATATAATATTTATATTAATTTACATATAGATAAATATCTATATATTTCAGGTTATTATTTTGGCCATGTAAGGTAAGACAACAACAACAAAAAATAGGAATAGTTCTCAATAAAGTATGACTCTATTAGTCTAACTAGGAATAAGCTATTTTCATTGTATCCAAATTTGGCTTCTAATCATGATATTAATACTAAACCTTTTCTCCAATATCAACAAATCCAATGCTTTTGCCTCAAGCCTCACCCTATTCAAGCCTTCAACAATCTGTACAACACTACAGACAGATTCTCCCCACAGCTTCGATGACACTAAAGGCTCCTGGTGGTCTACATTCTGCTTCTCAGTTTCTTACGGTGTCTCCTCCTGTTGTATGTGCCACTTTAAGGCAATTGTGCCCCCACTTTCCCAACACTAAATATTGTCCCTGAGCAGATGCAATTATAGGATAACTTCTAACCCTCAACCCATTTCTAAAGGGTCACTATGCCTATTTCCATCTGCTCTCTTGGTATCTCCACATGGATGAGTTGCAAAATGTCTTTAAGAACACTTTAAGAACAAAGATTGAGCACTTTAAGCTCAACCCATCTCTGTTCTGTTCCCTATCACATATAAAACCATTACTTTTTAAGACATGAGGATACATCTTGAACTCTCCCTTTAACACCTAACAACCATCAAGTCCAGTCAACTCTGAAATTCAGATCAAATCTGTCCATTTCTTTCCATTTCCACTGATACAAACCCTTATCACCTTAAATTTGGACACAGTAACAATAGCAGGATTCAAGCCAGTCATCCTGTCCTCAGTAACTTCCCTTTTTCTCCAATCCATGTGCCATATGCGAACAGTTTTCTTCCTGCAGCCCAGAATACATACTACTCACCCACATGTGTACACACAACAACCAATGCAATGTTGTCTCATGACCCTCCACTAAATGTGTTCATCTTTATGTTTTTCCTCCCTTGCACTCCACTCACTGCCTATCAAATTTGCAAAGTCTCTTTCAACTACCTTATCACTTTATTCCATATTTTATGGCACTTCTTAATGCAAATTGTTTCCATTTGCTTCTACCATCATATTTTTAAGTTCCTTGATGGGGGTAGGAGGGCTCTCCTTCACTCATTGCCTTTGTGCTACAACAGCTAGCAGAGTGCTTTCCATATAATAATGAAACAATGTGTGATGACAGGATAGCCCACATAGCTCTCCTAGACTGTGGGAAGGAGAACTATTGCTGCCCCTTGAAATACATGGCAGTTATCTTAGACTGGAGGTAAATCATTTCCTCACTGAAATCATATCCTTAAGCTAACGATGACATGCTTACTTTCCATAAACATGAAAATATGTTTGCCTTGAACCACCTTGGGAAACATCTCTCAAGATTAAGTAGGTCAAAGTGAGATTTTACAGAATGGTAGTATGAAGTAAAAACAGCTAGGAAGCTGTACTTACATATGATGAAAACACTTCATTTAATTAAAACATGCCACATTTCTATGAATCAGTGCCTAGAAACTGAAAGGCATTTCAGCCTTACATAAACAAGTTTAAAGATACACAGATATATTAAGGATCTGGAAACGTATGACCATGTCCACCACTCACTGTCAACACTGGCTTATGATCATAGAGCTTTTAAAATTGGGTGAGGAGACAAGTAGCTGAAAGATTCTAAAATTTTTTTTAATGGCTATAAAACAGTTTGAACTTTTAGAAGCAAAATTAGACATGATAATACCAGGTCCCTAACATAGGCCCAGTGGCCCGCCAGGTCTCACCATGCTGCTTCCCCATCGAGCCCTCTTAGCAGATCTTCCTAGTGGATCACAGGAAGTCATACAGACCACTCACTAGCAGATTTTTTTGTCAATTATGTTCACAGCTTCAGGGAGTGAACTGTCTATTAATTCCTTCCATACCACCACTGCAAAGACTGATCCAGCAACAAACTATGCGGGCTATATGCAGCCCATCTACCAGAATTGGGGAATTCACAGCAATCAAGAATTGTCCTATAGCTGAAAATATGGAATGCAAAGAAGGAAAGACAGCTAATCTGAGGAATGACATTACAGAAACCTCCATACAGAGGAGATAAGTCAAGCACTAAGAAAGGATGAGTCCTGTGAGAATGAGTGCCTGAGGTAAGGATCAAAGAACATTCCGAGTCAGAGGTGACAGAAAGTAACAAAGTGACTAAAAAAGAACCATAGGCTGAGCGCAGTGGCTCACACCTGTAATCCTAGCACTCTAGGAAGCCAAGATGGAAGGATCAAGAAGATTGCTTGAGGTCAGGAGTTTGAGACCAGCCTGAATAAGAGTGAGACTCCCATCTCTACCAAAAATAGAAAAAATTAGCCAGGCAAGGTTGTACGTGCCTGCAGTCCCAGCTGCTCAGGAGGCTGAGACAAGAGGATCGCTTGAGCCCAGGAGTTCGAGATTGCAGTGAACTAGGATGACACTCCTATTCTAGCCCAGGCAACAGAGTGAGACTCTTGTAAAAAAAAAAAAAAAAAACCACAAAAGTTTTCATTACGGAAAATTGCAGTCATATGTAAAAACAAAAGAGTACAATGAGCCCCCATTCCCTATTACTTATTCCCCAGCTTCACCAATTCACCAATTACCAAACCCTGGCCAATCTTGTTTCATCTACACTCCCTCCCTTCTACTCCCTACTTTATGAATCAGAAGGGACCTTTGAGGCTATCTAGTTCAATTACCTCATTTTATAGATGAGTAAACTCAATTCCAGAAAAGTTAAATGACTTGCTCTGAGAACCCACAGACCAGAAGAGATCCATAAAATAACATTAATAGAAAGAAGGAAGAAAGGAATTTCATGGAGTCATAGTGACCAACATTGCCAGACAGCACAGAGAGCTTGTGTGTGGTGGGTGATGCCTGAAAAAAGTTTCTGGTATAGAGACCAGAGGCCCCTTGGTTCTCTGAAGGTTCACTAAAAAAATCACCTCCCAAGAGGCAGATTGAGAAAAGACATACAAATTTATTTAACATGTATACATGAGAGCCTTCAGAATGAAGACCCAAAGCTACAGGGAAAATTGTCCACTTTTATGCTTAGGTTCAACAAAGTATAGACAAACATGTAGAAATATGATTAGACAAAAATGCTAATAGCTTGAGTGAGGAAACCCAGGAAGGCTGCCTAGATTCATCTTGGCCTGAGCATCCATTCCTTCCTTCTGGGTATTGAGTAGAAATGAAGGACTTATGACCTACAGTCAAAAAAGATGGTCAGATAATTTCTGACCAATTATGGCCAATTTTTACATAGAATGGCCAAGGAAAAGTTAGAGTAATATTTTTAGGTTTTGGGGAAAAGGGGGTCTGGTTTTTATAACCCATCTTGCGGAAGAGGGATTTTAGTTTTTATGGCTAGCTTTGGGGGAGAATGGGTCTGAGACACAAGAAGGCAGGAGAAAGTCAGAGAAAAATTTTGCTTTTGAGGCTGCTTCTGAGGCCTTCATCTTGGGGTATTATTTTCTGAGGCCCAACATTGGTATATAATCAAAAATCAGTCCCTGTCTTCTCCTATCGAGTCCCTAATATGGATCACCAAGCAACACACTCCCCACACAGCCATTAGTTATCATCTTAAAATATTGGGAACAAAATAATTCCCAACATCCTTTTTAACATCTCCATCTGGACAGATTTTTCCCATCCACAAATAACTATGGAAAGCCAACAACGTACAGTAAGTACCGTTCTAGGCAGTGGGGACACAAAGTTGAACCAGGGTCACACCCTGTTTCTGTCTTCACAAATTTTATACTCTAATTGGGAGAAACAGATAATAAACCGATATATACATTTTAAAAATTTACAGATGCGCTAAACATAAAATGAAAAAAATTAAAGGAATGATGTGAAGAGAGGGGTAGGGGGCCCTACTTTACATAGGGTGGTAAGGGTAGTCCTCTCTGAAAAGATGACATTTGAGTTGAGACCTTACCAAGAGCCAAAAAGGTGCAGTCCAACTTGAGTATACATTTGTCATAGGTCCTTCAAGTGGGAGGATTATATCAAGGATCATACTGGCCATACAAAGACAAAAGTCTGAGGGGGACTAAGGTCTGCCGTCTGCAGCTGTCATCACCACTGTCATCGTTATCATCAAGAACTTTTACATTTGAACAAGGCTTCTGAGTGGGAGCAAAGTGCTTTCCTTGCCATTACAAGCCAGTGGCTCTGATAAGCCAGGAGGCTTGTGGAGCCCTAAGTAAGGTTCCACTCTGCCTTCTCCGGCTTCCACTACCTGAAAACCGAAAGCGGCATTGTAGACACTACTCCTTCTGGGGAGTCGCAAGGAGAAGGCAGTGTGTATCACTGGGGCCACAGTGCAAGGTTCCATGGCCCCTTCACTCCGGGGTTCTCCAAAGGTCACTTTCCCCAACACCAGCGACCAGCCGACCTCGCCAAGGGCTCCCAAGGTTGCAGCTAGCCGGAACCACGGCCTCGCACGTGGCTAAAAGAGTTACATTTTCCCCACGGTCGTGCCCCAGGCGCGTACAGTACCTGTCAGGAGGCGTGAGGAGAGAGTGTGCGGGGACGCGGCCATAGCGCGCGAGTCTGGCGGCTCTCCGGGATCCCCGTGTCCCCTCTCCTCACCAGCTACTGGGCGACGCCATCTTCCCTCCCCGCCCCCTGTGGGAGGAGAGACGCTTCCTGTTCGTCACTTCCGGCGGGCGGGCGGGCGAGGGAGGAAAGCGGTGGGGCTGGCGGCGACAGCAACCGGACCGGCGCGAGGGTGCTGCCGCCGGGTCTGAGGCCCGACTGCGTGGGCAGACGCGAGGAGCACGGTGTGGCTACGCCCTCTGAAGAAAAGGCCGTGCGAATGGGAGTTAAGAGGCGTCCTCTGGGCCTGTCCGGCCCTCCGGCGACCCGCGGGTGGCTGGGCGTGGCGCGCTGCTCGCGGGCGGTTTCAAGTCACGGTTAGGACCCTTCCTGGTGGCCGCAGCGCGGAGGGGAAGCGGTTCTTGAGGCGGTGCCTCCTCCCTCCCGTCGGATCAGTTCCAGCTTTACCGTATTCTCTGTCGAATGGGAGCCCGCACTGGACTCCCAGTTGCTGCCCCTGAGCCGCACCGAGGGAGCCGAACCATCAAAGTGTCTCCAGATGGAGAAAGTGCGTGTAGCGGTTAAGAATTGGGGCTCTGGAGGGAGAGCCCGTGTTCTAGTCCTGGCATGTGACCTTGTTTGAGCAAATAAGTCCTCTGAACCTCAGTTAACTTCGTGTACAGCAGAAATATTAATAGTATATTATATAAGGTGGTCGAATTAATGTTTCCCAAATGGGTATCCAGGCGCCTATTAGGTATGGGCACTAATGAATTGTTACTACCTGTATTAACATTAGGCTTGTGACTACTAGGCAGATCTCAGCGGCCCGCCTCCTGGCTCTTTTTCATGTTCAGGTTCCACAAGTAAAAAGTACATTGAAGAAAGACTGAACTTTTGAAAAAGTAGAGAGAATTAGATAACTGAGTTCTATAAGAGCAATTTCTGTCTGTTTTCAATGATGAAATGATAGCCATTTTGGTCCACCTGAGCTAACGTTGTTTGGCACAGGAGATACTGATAATGACCCCCTGATTTTGTACCAGCTTCCACTAGACTAAGGGTTGTTAGTTATCACAGTGTTACAGAGGTACTGTAGAAAGCGGCCGCAGAAACCCGGATGATGTAACATTTCTGTGCAGTTGGATTAGGAAAGTCTTCAGAAATTTAAACTCGGTACTCCGTAGAAGGAACAATAAGATTTTTCCAGCATACAAGGAAAGGAAAGGACAGTCCATAAAGAGGAAAACAGCATTAAATACGGTGTTAAAAGTTTTCAAACTCCTTAATATTTGCCATGTGGTTTTATAAACACTTGATGTTTACATTCAGAGCAAAAGTTGTTACCCTCTTTACGAGTGACATTTTAAGGCTCAAAGAGTTTAAGTAATCTGCTCAAAGTCACTTAGCTGCTGAATGCCAGAACCAAGACCTGAACTATTGCTACCTTCCTGGTATAGGGTTACTTCCACCGTGCCATAAGGCCATATTCACCTAAGAATCTTGAACAGACACAGCTTCTGTGATTTATAAAGCACAGTATTTCAACCTTGACTGCCTGTTAGAATCAAGTGTAGGGCTTTAAAAAATTATAGATGCTTGAGCTACCTCCAGACCTGTTGAATTTGAAGGAAGTGTATGGTAGATGGAGAAGGACCTGTGATTTTCTTTTTAAATCACTGCTGATGATTCTTATACACAGAACTGAGGATTCTGGATTGCAGATTTTACTTGACAGCACAACTAGTCTAAAAGGTTAATTAACATGAATATTATATTTCATGAATTCCCATGTTCTCTAGGTAGACAAGGAGTCTGATAGACTTCTTGGCCAACAGATTTTTCCTTCATTTTAACTTCTTTCCAAAAGTAGGGGCAAAGTATGACCAAGTACAGAAATGAATGCGTAGGTTTTTATTTATCCATGGAAACGAGTAAATGTGTTATGGGAGAAATGCCTGAAAGATTAACACATTCTGGTTTTACTGGTCATCTATCTACTATTTGTCATAAAGTTAACCTAGGTCACCATACTCTCTGGAAAAGTAATCCCTGGAGATATTTCTGTAAAGAATAGGGTTCCATGACCATATACATTGATTTGGCCACTTGTAGCTGCAAGGGAGGCTGGGAAAGCAAAAAACAGGGTTGCAGTGATTACCTTAGGCCAGTCACGATTCAGCACTGTGGCTGTCGGCATATTGCTACCTCAAATCAAATTAATGTTGTAACTAAAAGAGTTCCACAACTGTTCAACCCATTGTTTTCCAAACATGTTAAACACAACCCATTTTGTGAAATGCTATGACAATTTGGGAAATGCTAGAGTCACATATATACACAAAACAAAGCAAAAACACTTGAACAAACAATTTTGGTGATTGGAATACATCCCTATTGACAACCTCGACTTATTCTAAGGTGAACCAGACTTTCTGGTTTGGGACTATCTTGCTTATTTAGACTTACCTTTCCTAGACAGATTTTCTTACAAAATTCCATAGACAAGCTCTGCCCTTTACTCATTATAGATTAATAGGCCTTTTAGAGATAGGCTTCAGACATTCATAATGCCTGACCTTTTCATTCATAGATTTGTAAACTGAGGTCCAGAGAGGTTAAGCGATTGACTCTAAGTGGTAGAACTTTGACTCTAGACATTCAGGTCAGCACTTTTTTCCATCTCACTATATTCTCTTTCTTGTTCCTTGCTCTACCTGTAGCATCTTCTCTAATGAAATGATATAAAATGCCACAATTATTATACACACACACACACACATATATAGTATTTATTTGACTCCGGATTTTACATTTCAAGCAAAATAAAGATATTTTGTGGGCTATGTTTTTCATTACCTGTTGTTTATTTTTTTCAGTTGTTATGGAAAGGTATACAGAATTAAAAGCATTTTTAGCTAAAATACTTATTTTTATTGTCCTATAATTATAGAAAATTGAGTTATATCATTTCATTGTGTGTTAATATGGTCATTAACTACAGTTACCAATTGCTTGTATTTTTAAACATTATTTTAAATAATAGTAAAGCTTTATACCTTATCTCTTAAAATTAATATTAAAAACTTAACCTAGATAATGGCTCCTCTTATTTACCTTATTGTTTGGACAGTCAGCTAAAAACTAAGTCTCATTGTGTCCTGTAGGTTGGCTGCTCCTTTTCTTTCAAATAAAATCTCAGAGAGTCTTTCTACGTGTACCAAATAAAATCTGCAACTTACACCATATTACATGACTTCTGAGTAAATGCTGACTTTTTCAAAGCCTTACTGAATTTCTCACAATATATAAAAAGATCCAGCTTTCTCTAGGAGTTGACCTAAAATGCAGGACGTAAACAATCAACACAGAGCTATGTATATTTAAAAAAAAACCATAGATCTCAAAACCTAAGGAGAAGCAAGGATCTGAATGGACTTTTTCCAAAGAAGATATACAAATGCCAGTGGTGCAAGGAAAACAACCCTAACATCATTAGTCATTAGGGAAATGCAAATCAAAACCACAATGTGATACTACTTCACATCCACTGGGAGATAGCTATAATCAGAAAGTGAGATAATAGCAGCAAGGATGTGGAGAAATTGGAACCCTTATACATTGCTGATGGAAATGTAAAATGATGTAGTCACTTTGGAAAAGAGTTTAGCTTGTTCCTCAATAAGTTAAACACAGACCTGCCATAAAGCGCAGTAATTCTTTTCCCAGGGATATACCCAAGAGAAAAGATAACATATATCCGTGCAAAAATTTGTATACAGGCCAGGCACAGTGGCTCATGCCTATAATCCCAGCAGTTTGGGAGGCTGAGGTGAGAGGATCATTTGAGGCCAGTTCAAGGATGAAGTGAACTGTGATCACGCCACTGTACTCCAGCCTGGGCAACAGAGCAAAACCTTGTCTCTTAAAAAAATTGTTCACAAATATTCATAGAAGCATTATTTGGAATAGCCAAAAAATGGACACAACTCAAGTGCCCATCAACTGATTAATGTATAAATAAAATGTAATATATCCAGACAGTAGAATATTATTTGGCCATAAAAAGAAAATGAAGTACTAATACATTTACAACATGGGAGAACAATGAAAACAAACTGAGTGAAAGAAGCCAGTCACCAGAGACCACATACTAGATGGTTCCATTCATATGAAATGTCTGGAATAGTCAAATTCATAAAGATAGAAAGTAGATCAGTGGTTGCCGAGGGCTGGGAGAGAGGGTAGAGGAAAAAGAAGAGTGACTAATGACGGGTACAGGATTTATTTAGGAAGCAGGAGGATGAAAATGTTCTAAAATTGATTGTGGTGATTGTTGCACAATTCTGAATATGTTAAAAACCATTGAATTGTACAGTTTAAATAGGTAAATTGTATCAAAAGTGAATTATCTCTCAATAAAACTGTTATTAAATTACAAAAAAACAAAAAGCCTAACGGTAAAGTCAGGAAGAGCTACTCAGGGAGACCAAAGGTAACAATTCACTGCATGGACAGACATTTATCATCTACTATATATTAATAGCTCTTCCTCCCTCATGTAGATTAGAAGACCTAACTGTCCAGAAATAAAGGCATCTCTCAACCTCCCTTACAGCTTGGTGTGACTTTACTACTAATTCTGAAAAATGAGATATAAGCGTAAATGATGTGTTTAACTCCTAAGAAAGAGCAAGTCCTTCTATGCTGACTGGAGTGCAGACGCGATGCTGGCCCTTAATATCTGGGACCACAAGGTACAAGCCACATGTTGCAGCCTGCAGAGCAACAAGATAGTGGGTCCCTAGTGCTATGGAACTGCCGTATCAGCCCTGGACTGGTGAATGGGAAATAAATTTCTAGCTTGTTTAGTACAGTGTTACTTTGGGTTTTCTATCATCTGCAGTACTATTAATCCAAACCTATATACCATTAATGTGGCTATAGATTGATAGTAAAGTTAAAGGAGCTAATGTACCCAGCTCAGAGTCGGCTCAGAAAATGATAGCTATTGCTGTTAGATGACTGCCCATATGCTTCAGTAAGCAACCCAAATAAAATGTTAATAGTTTTTTAAAAAATATTTTCAGAAGGAAAATTTAGG